AGAAAGCGGAACGAATCTGGTGTTAACAGAAATGTGGGCGCTGCCATGGTTGATTGAATTAATAATAATTGGCCTGATTAAAACTAATAAAGCGGTAAAGCACGTGAAAGGAAGTTGAATCTAGTTCCAGCCATCGAGAAATTATGAGCTTGGATGTGTTTAGAAATACCGCACTGGTGGTATCACAGGGAAATGAGTTTTAACGATGAAACATCACACATAAACAAAGCGCAACCTCGATATATTGGAATAGTCATCACATATTGGCATTCCATTCCGCCGGAAGTCCAAACAATTCAATTTCTGACACTGGATTTACTCCGCTTAAACACACCGCCCATTTCTCGCGTAGGAGGAGCGTTTAAGCACAAATTGCTCCATTATATTTGAGCTTGCATCCGCAGTGCACTGGGTGCAGGAGCACATCTTTTAGTTGGACTAAACTAGGGCGCGTTTTGAGCAACAAACGAACTGTCACTATCCACAGAGAGGTATACAGACAAAGCATTACCATGATATATCACGAATGCTACTACATTGTGTAGAAAAATTATACATTTTTTAATTATAGATGATGCTTTATCTTTCCCAGATTGCAGCAGCAGTTGACAGCAATTTCGGTAAATTCTTTCGTACAGAGTTCGATGTATGACAGAAGAATGGAATCGCTCCAATTCTTTGCTATACTACATCTAGTAAAAATGGGACACGGGTAAAAATAGGTCTGTATGACTCTCTTGCATACGAAAATCGAATGTTTTGATGCTGTGGCATTATTGTTCATATTTCTGAAACGCAAATGTTCTTAACCAGGTCCCTCAATCAATTTAATGAGGTCATAATGGATGAAAAAAACCAGGAGCAAAAATATCAACTGTTCCTTGACACCGATGAAGGTATAGGAAAAGACCCGGAACACAAGGTTGCAGTAGGACGAGGGAAAAACCAAGTTAAGAGGCCCTGTACGCAGTAGCAGCATCTAGAAACCAGCTGAATAACCTCTGAGGAACAAAGTCGTTGATGATGACAAAAGCTATGGATATACAAGTCTTGCATTTTGAATATGCTGTCTTCTGGTCTAAAAACGGCAGCACTCAACATATTTGAAAAGAGAAATTCGCTAGTGACGAAAAGAAAGAGTTTTAGGTAAGAGTATTACGAATAATGAGGTAGAACCTGGTGACAAAGGAATAACTGCTGACAAGGCATTCGAAAAGGTTGGGTCTCTGCCGGCCAATGGAAGTAACCTAATTACAAAGATCATTGCTTTATAGGCTACAACTTCATTGCAAATTCATATTTCCGTATTTCACAGACTTTTACCGGTGATCAATCATTTTATTAATATGCATGGACCTCTCTGAAACTAAATACATAGGGTAAACATGAAGGATGGTAATCACGCACATGATACAGTAGATAATTTCGAAAACTGGTTTGAATCCTATGTACTTTTCATCAGTGTAGGTATTACTGATTTGATGGTTATAAACATAGTAAATAACACTTGTGTTAAAGTCTTTAGTCTAACTGTCAACAATCCGGCCAATGTTGTTTCATCGATACGCTAGTACGAACATTAACTTTAACAGAAGTCTAGAAAGACCTCCTAAAAGTAAGCAAGATTTCACAAGTACTGAAGTACCATCTAAATCGTTTTCAACGCAATGCGATAAAACGGAGAGGAATTTGAAGATTATATGAGAACTGATGGGGGGGGGAGTTTATAGAGAGAGACACGAAGGCCTGTTTATGAGTGGTGGTGAATTGCCACAGATGGTATGAAAAAATGAAATAACCTGTTTCGGAACTGAAAATCAGCCATTGGAAAACACTCAGTTAGTGGTTAACTAGATCTGAAGATCAGCGAAGGAAAGTCTGACCTGATTGCCCTTTACCTCAATTACCAGTCAAGGCTTAAATCGAATATATTAAGATTTGTGTACACAACAGCTTTCTTGGTGGTATTAGCTTCTCAATCTTCTCCGGTTAAAGAGGATATTTGACTGTAGTCAAATCTTTCATATCGAAGCTGCAAAACTAGCAAAATAACAGTTATGAAATTAATAATTTGCCAGGCTTAATTCATCTCACCAGAAAGTTAAATAAATATTAAAATCTAGACATCAAATAATAAAAATAAAACTAAGCTTTACAGAATCAAAGTGGCAGACGTGGAATGAATTTATTTTACCTTCGTTGATGGTTGGTTCTGGCTTTATGCCCTCGCAGATGTATCTGTAGTCCGGGCAGCAGTCGTTGCCGTCGCCTCGCTTGCAAAATGTGTCGCAGTAGCAGAGGTGGTTGTCGAGAATTCTCGCAGTGCATTCGTCGTCCCTATTGACGCAGCACTGTTCCGGCTGGCGTACTGCACAGTAGTCGCCGGGGATACCATCGAAACCAACGGCCGAAGTGTACGACAGCAGGGTGCAGAGTAAACAGAAGAGGTAAAGCGTCGCTATGACCATTTTTGCGATGCCTTGCGTGCTGGCGATTTGCAAACGGTTGTTCCTTGTGACCAGTCGACGGTTCGTTCCAAGCGAAATGTAGTTCATGTCTGAAACATCGAGAGCGCTAATGGACTACTTGGCACCAGTAACGGAACCTGCGACCCGCACAAAATGATCTCGGAGACGAGGGAAAACGAGGAACTGCCTCAGTCGATCGGCAAGGCATGACATTTTTCATAAAGCACAATAAGATAAACAATAAAACACAGCTCTAACACTGCTGCAAACACAAATATGACGGTGAAGCGCACGTTGAGAGAAACAAGTCTAAGCTTGGTCGTAAACGCGGCAAACTTTATACGCTTGCCACATGCAGAAGCGCGACAACGTTGATCTGAAGCCAGCGCACGTGGAACACCTCTTTGGAATGATGAACGTCGACGATGAGCAACCAAAGTACCGGATTGGCTGAGAAACTGAGAAACGAGGAAAGATTGAAGTCGTGAAGTGACAGTAACGAGTTTCAGCATTTTGTACGTGTATAGCGAGCCACAGCGGACAGCATAACTGAACATATTTTCAAGGGAACTTGGACTTCATGCATGAATGAAGTGATTAAGAAAAAAGTGGAACGACCTCGATGAATGGCGAGGCATAGCGTGTATGATGCAACGACATCTTAAACATATCATGCGTGGACATTCGCATAAATAATAACCTTAGAATTCGGAAACGAGGGTGTACCTACCTGCATCTGCCACGATGGGGTCACCAGTCATCGTGACAGAATGCAAGAATGACACGGAATTACGGTTATGAATGCCCAACGTCAACATTTTAAGTCAATGCCCAATAAAACGAAAAGAAGGCGAAGGAATACGGCAATAATATTTTCTTTTGTACTTCATACACGTAAGAGAGCAAATGAGTTAAACATAGACGAATGACATGAACTCATTCTTGAGGACTTCTCATGCCAAGGAATTGCGCAGAAGCAGCATCACACAGAAACTCAAGATCAGGCTTAATTGAGAAAGGCCTGTTGGAGAAAGTGACTTTTGAACTTGCACCTCGCTGACCATGCATGCAGACCACACGCGAGCCGTATCTGAAATGTAAAGCATGGCGCAAGACCTGGCTGGCAGGATGCACGACACGGATGGGTTGAAGCCCTGGGTGTGACCTCATATTCCCATGCGCCTTTTGCAATATGTTCGCCACCGACGTCAACGTGAAAATGTACGCTGATCTCCAGCCATACCAACCAGCTTTCGGATTCGTCCACCCGCCACGCGCCGGATAATCGTGTTCGCCGGACTTCATGGCAAGGCGGCTTATATCAGTCATATGACGTGGTGATGATGACAGCATCATTACTCAGCATATGAGAACCTTTCATAATAATAGGCATCAGGGCGCTGCTACACAGTGCCTGAAAAACTCAAGTGCCGTGTACGAAGCAGCAGTAGACTTCAGTAGAGGCGGACGACGATCGGTAGTCTGTGGAGGCTGGACCTTTCATCGTCCGTCATGTAGCCACCACCACCTACTGTCGGTAACCTCATCCGTCAGTCCGGCGTGTCTGCGGCCAGCACAGTCAGCGATAACTGATGGCACGTTACAAAATTTGGTGTAAGTAAATATTTTTCAAACATAGGTTTTTAGAGGGACATTTGTGCAGATAAAAGTTTTTATCCTCGCAAATCGACTGCGAAGCGCAATTTCTGGAATTCTATTCGTCAGACGTCGTCGAACACAAAAACTGGCCTCATGT